CTCCATTTTCCTGCTGATTTGTCAGCACCAGGACTAGCCAGCCTTTGACATTGACATTGTCCTCAGATGAGTCGGAGTACTAGGATAACCAAGGACAACTGAGTTGTGGGACTCAGGTAGCAACTAACTCGCATTCTACCTATTCATCTTGCCCCATCCCAAGTCTGGGCTTTGTTTTGCTCCTTTTGCGTGTGTCTTGTGTTTGCTTTTGCAATTGACAGCCAGACAGTAAATTGCAAGCGTGAGCATAATTATACTCTTCAATCTATTCCCGGAATTTTTCAGCAACTCAATTCAACTCCCACACACTGTGCGGAATATTAGGGTTTTGTGCGTAGTTACTAAGAAATTTTCCTGCTGCTCTGCAAGGCATTCAAAATTTGTTGATGTCATAAATCTGACCTGAAGTCTCTCTCAAGTCGATATAGCTGCTGCTCCTGCGGCGCAGAAAATGAGTCCTTGAGGTGTAATGCTTTACTGGTTGTTTTGGCTATCAATGAACAGCCGTTGAAACCCTAAAATTGCCTCTCATCATTTAACTCACTTTCATTTAATGTGGGGTATATATTAATTCAGAAAATGAACAACCATTTATATTCATAGTTGGCTAACCTTTTTCATATTATTTACCCAACAGTAGCCTGTCAATGACATATCATATCTCAGGTTTGTTTTTTACGACTCATGCCAACGCATTTCCTTAGCAAACAAGAATGTAATTTCCTTTATTATTTATTTACTTTTAAGTACTCGCTTGATATACAAACATCAATAATATTCCCGGACTGCTCCTTGAAAAACTGGCGCATCATGCTGTAGAAAATGTCCTGACAACAAACTCATTCATAAATCAAGGCAACAGCGATTGTTAATTTTCGATATATTCCTGCCATGTTTTTATTTTTTTTAGGGGAAACTTCTCAAGTGTTGCTAGTTAAAAAAAGAAACTGCTTCCTCATGGTTATTTCAGTATTGATGTATTGGAAATATGATAGCACATTACTTCGAGCTACAGACAGCTGACGAACAACTGAGAACTCCTAGTGCTTCCTGTAGTTGTATTTTTTCACTGTATCTCAAGAGAACATTTAGAATTTAATTGTTGATAGTTAAATTCAATTTCCTATGGACGGTTTTAGTTGTTATTTCTAAAGTTCTGTTCAACTATAAAATACAAATAAAACGCCTATCTGTATATTCTACTGACTCACTTTTCAACCTATAAAATCTTTTGCTAGATCAATTACTAATAAAAGTTGAAATGGAAATCGTAGTTTTGTTTCGAAAATTTACAGAGAAAAGTTCTTAAAACGTGGTGCAGCCATAAATATCAATTAACTTAGATAAAAAGACCGAGGCGAGACACGGTCAACGATTCAAATATGGGAAAGCAAGCTAATTGCAGTTAGCCGGTGGTCCGGAGTCGGGGAAAGAGAGCTCCGAGTGCTCCAAGTGCCGAAGTGCCAGCCAAAGGAAGTCGTAAAATTGATAAGGACAAAGCATGAAAATGCGCTGCAGGAAAAACTAAGTGATTAGGGAATGTCAGCAAAGTGCCAGGTCACGTTCCATTTTCGACTGAGGCTGAGATGACGCACACAGCTCAGTGTTCACAGGTCTCTGCGCTTATCAGCTGACACAGAGAATGCCGGCGAGTCGCCTCCGACTCCCGTTAATAACCAGCAACAAATTTGATGACGCAAGCGTCGACGACATCCACGTCCCATCTAGCCTAATCCCAGAGCATTTCTTGGTAGTTGCTGCCTCTAATTTGTTGCTCACTTTGTTTGATGATGTGACGACGCTGTCATCGTCGGCTCTTTGAACTTGCCCAGCGGCATTTTATCTCCTCTGTTCTCTACTCTACTCTACTCTACTCCACCCTACTCTCTGCCCTATCACGTCGCGCTAGCCTGGCCGGTGTGGTCCTTATCTGAGCATCGTGTGCCTAACTCGGAGGTGGGCTCAACTCATATTTGCATTTGACTTAGTCAAACAACTAGTTGGCATGACTGGCTTCAGCATTTGTCTGAAACTGTGACAAAGGCAACAATGGTGTTTATCTAGCAGCAACCCGACCCTGACCTAAGTCACGTTTTCTACATAGTTCAGATATGCGATATCTCTGTGAAATCTAATGTAGATCACACTTGTCTCGTATCTATTTAGATCATTGTCATAATGCATGATATAATCGTGTTGCTTTAGATAACATCTGCTGTTGTAACATCTGCAAATTAAATAACACATTTTATGAATAAAGATTCTAATTATTTTCAATTTTGCTTTATGTTTAGTATTTAGATTAAAATATCAAAATCTCTCTCAAAATTCATGGTCTTTTTATAATAAAAATTTAACATTTTCATTACCAACATTGTACAGAAGACAAAGACAAATAAATCAGTTTACTTAAGAATTGTTATTAAATAATTAGTATAAGGCATAAGTAGCTGATATTCATTTCATGCATTCTTCTATTAATGGGAGCAACTTTGTTAAGAGTTCTCATGCTTTTGGAGTTGTTTGTATTTCATATCTGAGCTTTATTCCCTTCAATTTGGCCATACTTCATATAGATTTACTTATCAAATGCTTGCAGCAGGAGCAGCCTCAATTTTACGGCCAAATCATAAACACAAAGCAGGGCTGATTAAAATTTCATTTCGCACTTTCGACTGGGTCGCTGTGATTGTGAATTTGGGTGCTTGGGTGCAAAGTGCACCCTTTTGTTGTGGCAGGGCGGGCAGCCCAGTGTTGCAGCAGTCGCAAAAGTATTGCTCGTAAAAAGTGCAGCAAAGAACCGCAACACTGCAATGCAGCACCAAAAATGTCAGCGCTGTTCCAAGTTTTATGGCCTTCTGCCGCAAATGGCTGTGAGAATGTATCTAAACTGAGGCCTGGTCTGGCACTGGCTCTGGGTCTGGGTCGGGGTCCGAGACCGCGACTCTGTCATTCTGCTTCTAAATTCGGTTAGGGCTAAAACGTAAAAGTTTTATGGTTGGCGCAGCGCGCGTGGAAGAAGCTCAGCAAAAGGCAGCGACAGCAACAACAACAGCAATAACAACGACAAATCCAACATCAACGTCAGCATCGTAAATAAATTTTGCTCGTAATTAATTTTGCATGCAAGTCAGATAGAGACAGCGAGATGGAGACCGAATCGACCGTGCCTATATAGTAACAGGTATATATAGTATATACACTCAAAAAAAAAGAGAAGTTAAGACGCTCTGAAATTTAGAATATTGCCTTAAAATAAAATGACACCTGGCCATTTTTCTGGTTCTTTGAATATATTTCAAAATAGACGAACAAATTTCTAAAAGTTTGAGTCGATTTTTTAAATTAATAAAAAGTAGAAATGCTAATTAATTTTCAGAAAAAATTCTGTCTGAAATTAAAAAAATAAAGTATATTTGCTGTCTCGACAGAGGATTACGAGTTCGAATGGCTCTTAAATCGCATAAATTTTTTAAACTTTTTTAACTTAACTGCTAAAATTTTGTGAATTTATAAATTATGTAAAATGTTTGAAATTTAAAATTCTAAAGCTGAATTAATTTAGTAAGTAACTAAAAGGGCAAAAACACGCAGAAATGTAGAAGTTTTTTTTTTGTTGTAAGCCCTGTTTTTATAAAAATACTGAATTACATTGGCGCTAAGTGTATGAAAATGTTCTAAATTTGTGGGTAATTTTTTTCTGAGTGCATGTATTTAGTGCGTAGTCAGTTGGCTGTACGTCAGTTTTGGAAGTTAATAAACGACGCACACGGCAGCTGATTTTGAATGCCGCATGACGTTTAATGATGGACCCGGCCATCCAATTTTGTTATGCCAAATGTGTCGCTAAATGTTTCTTTTTTCTGTCTGTTGACTGCCTCCCCACGCCGACAACATCCCCACCCACTCTGTCCCTCGCACTGTTTGTCCGTCTCTCTGTCTGTCCGTCTGTCTATCTGGGTTGCGCATACGTCCCGTGTGACAACGCAGCTTTCGACTGGCATTAGCTTTTGAGTTGGCTCCGTTTCGGTTTTTGTATGCAAATTGAGTTTCAATGAGGGAGGGGGGTGCTGCTGCTGGTGGTGCTTGGCTTGTTTGCATACGCCTCATGCAAAACTTTGTCTCTGACAGATCGAGAACTGTGAACGACGTTCAAGTTTTGAGTTTGCATTGCATTTTCAAGGCAACTCATTAGTGTGCTTGTTTGTTGTTGTCTTCATTCTTGTTGCTCGAGCATTATTTATTTGACATTTTTAACACTTGCCGCTGACGATTATGCCGTGTTCTCTGACTTCACATTAGTCACATTATGTTCTCAAATTTGCCAAAAGGCGTAAATCAGTTTCCTGCATTGAGCTTAACTTGTTGTTGTTATTATTTTTGTTTGCTTTGCATCTGCAGTTAATTTTTGTTGACTTTACGTGTTAGCCGCTTGCTTCCCTGTCTGTCTGTGCCCCTGTCGCTTTGTTTGACAATAGGTTCAGTTGCAATATTCACAGTAAAGTCTCGCAGCTGTGCTTTGACAGCTGACGACTTCACAAATAGCTTAGATCAGCAGATGCGCCTAGGTTAAGGTTAATGAAACTTTTTGAAAACGGCTGGGAAATATTTTTATAGCGCATTAACAGCATTATCGGCTGACTGATTATATGAAATTAATCTGAAATAAAGCAATATTATATAACATTACATTACGTAATATTGAACTGATCTGAGTATATTTTACATTATTTATTACACACTAGAAACAATAAATTTGTAGAAGATGTCTCATTCAAATATACCAACTACTAATTACGGGGAATACGGTTAAAGGTATAATGTAATTAAAGAAAGTAACTTTATAAGAGTGTCCGACTATTTATACTGAAAGTATATAAAATTATGAATTATTTAAAGGTTTATTTTAAAGAATTTTCTCAATAATTGGTTTGTTGAGTTATATTTGCTTCCAGCTTTTGTTTGTTTTGAGATCAATGTCAGATATATTGTGAATAAGTATTGTTAAATTTGCTGTTGATTTTGATTTAATTGCCAAATTCGCAGTAAGTTAGTTCAGTTAGGTTCTGTCCGATAAATGGTGCATCATGGAATCCGCTTACGACAGTTATATTCGATACAAAAATGCTCGGAACGTGTTTGCTCTCAAGACCTATGTAATATTGTTTGTCTGGCTAATTTTGGCTCTGATACAGTGGTCCATCATATGCCTCGTGTAAGTCGCAGATTAAAATACTGATAAGTATTTAATCATGGAAGAATTATTTTTTACTTTCAGCGAAGAAGCCAGGGATGTATTCCAGAATCACTATTATATCAGCTTTGTGACTTTCTCTCTAGCGGTTCTGCTTTTTGGTGTCTTCATATTTTTTGAGAGCCTGCGTTACATCAACTTTTTAAACTTTCTTATCAGCTTTATAATTGTGAGTTCCTGATTAAGTCTATCATGTCAATAGTGTTGCTAGCAATTTTCTGGTTTTTCTCAAGGTTGAGCTGCAAATTATTTCAGTGTTCGCGGTTGTCGTTTACTGTCATTGGACCGAAGTACTTTCGTTCTATGGAATGTGTTTTGTGCTCCTCTGGGTGTTTATTTTGATTGGTACATTTCTTCCCAAAGAGGTAAGTTTGCTAAGTTGTAATCACTTTTAATTTGCTTCTTATTTTCAAAATGACTTTCAGATTGACTTAACCTTGGATGTGGCTGTACTTTTTATTTTGGGTTTCATTTTCCTGATTATCGCCGTCTACTTTGTCATGATTAGATTCGTGTTAGTCTCCGATGAGATATATCCATATATTATTATTGAGATCGCCATTAGTATCATTATTCTATTTGTAAGTATGAACTAAATAACCGAAGGATAAATATGTGCATTTCTCCTTTCCCCTTTCCTTTAGTTTGTCATGTATCATGCACAAACTATCATCGGCAGTCGATTTGCAGAGATGCGTCTAAATGATGCCCTTCTAGGATCGTTAATTCTATTCCATGACTTCCTCATCCTATATTGGCTGACTTTCTACTGGCAAATCTTGGAGAGACCCATCACGCCAGATTCTTGGCTAATGACGTCGACGTCAACGGAGGATACAATGCAAACACGACACCCTAATATGAGACACGTGCGATATGAAGATTACGAAGAATATGAAAATAAAGATCCTGATCTCATCGACTCAGAAGTAGAACAAGGAGGAGGACATCCATCCAAAAGTAGAACAAGCAATGCACCTACATATCAAAGACGGGATCATGATGAAGAATATGGAAGCACTGGTGGATGGGATTCTCGGGGCGCTGGTAGAGGCCGTCACAGAAACCCGGAAGGCTCGTCTGCTGGGCATAGGGAGAATGCAGCTGAATACCCCAGAGAAAAACCAGAGAAAAATGAAGCTGTTGACGCAGGAACTGACTTAAGTAGAGGGGATTTTGGTAGAGGCTCTGGTAGACATACCGATAGCTTCAGTGAAAGTGCCGATAATAGAGTAAATTCCAGGCTAAGGCCAGGAGTTTCTAGACCAGGTGACGAACGAGTTTTATCAGGCATAGACAATAGTGAAGACTCAGAAAGATATGACAGTAGTAGAAGCGCAGCTAGAGATGCTGAAGGTGGTGAAACCGTTTCAAGAAATGCAGGTGGAGTACACAATCCTGGTGAAGATGTCAGAGACGATGCAGCATCAGGAGGAATCCTTTACGGAGGCATTAGTGATAACCGAGCTGACGAAGTCCCCGTACGCCATGAAGGGATGCAGAATATTCGTGTAGGAGGAGACGAATCTGGCGGGAAAGTCCCGAAAGAAGTCCTGGAAGAAATCCCTGAGGCTAGTCCAACCGTGTAAAAAGTCTATGTGTTATGGTGTTATGAGAGATGTGTCCTCTTTGGTCAACCAGAGTATCTGTTCACAAGCACTGTGCGTGTACATCAGAGCATGTGAGCAGTTACTCTTGGTTGTTGGCTTATAATTGTCAATATAATCAGTTAATAGCACTCACCTTAACAATTTGGCTGTCATTTAACTAGCAGGTGACTTACGAATGATTGCTCCAAAGATTTATCACTCGAAAGTCAAATCACAACAACCTGTTCAACGAACCCCAGCCGAAAACAAAAGAAAACCGTTCTCTCAATTACGACAAGAACACGTGCAGACCCCATAAAAACGTACTCGTACTACATAGATATATGTATGTATATATATATATATATATATAAATACCGTAACACATACTTGAACGTACTTACTTGAGCTTGCTTATCTTTGAGCTGGCTGAAATGTCATCAGCTGTTGGAAGTTTATCATCCAAATACCTTATAAAAGTGTTGTGAATATAATGATAAAATAATAATTTTCTGATGATCTTTCGTCCATTTCTAGCCAGGCAAAATTCAATGAATTTCGTAAATTACAAGTACCAAAATTACCTCTGTATATATATTAAAGATTTTGCTTACCATTTAATATTTAAACACTAACTTGTTAAACTAAAAAGTTTGTATTATTAAGCGAAGTTTTAAGCCAAATTAATTGCAATTTTTTAAATGTGAAATTTAATCTAAGCTTGAAAATCTTTTCGTAAAGCACAAGTGCCAAAACTTCCGTCAAATAAAGAAAAAAGTTTATATACAAAATTAAACTACAAAACTGTTTCAAATCGTTGCTAATCTGCACGGAAAAACTGAATTGAAAAACTTGTATTGATCATTTTCCAATTTTTGTAAGCCAAGTAAATTGCAGTTGCTTGCATTCAGCTTGGCATGTTTTATGACGGAGTAGCTAACTTAATTTTAGTTGATGCAACTAAATGAATTTTTATAAGGGTATTCAGCTGTCGACTTCTAAAAAATTGGTTCGGTTTCTTTCTGGTTTTTGCTGTGCATAAAGCAAATCATGAACAAGAACGCAAAACACGACCGCGACACAAACCCAACAATGACTGCAACTGCTGCTGGTGTTGATGTCAGTACCAGGTTCCAGGCCCTTTCCCACCGAACCGCCACCCCCTGGCCTAGCAGCCAGTTTAGCTGGCAGTCACTCATGACTGTGACCTGAACCAGATACACGATGCACGATAATATAATTTATGGCCCTGTTTTTGGTGTTTGTTGTCTCCGATGCGCGTTATGGTATGTTTGATGTGGCGTGCTACGACGTCCGTTCCGTCAGTTAGTCAGTTAGTCAGTCCGTCTGTCAGTTAGTGAGTGCAAGAGTCGAACTGTCTCTCGTCGACTCATCAACAAATCGTACATTTGAATACAAATTGCAGCATTACGAGCTGAGGCGCAAAAGGCTTTAACAAAAGTGTCAAATTTGACATGAAATTATTTATGCTTGCACGAGAACTTTACCTGGTTATATATTCCATTTGTTGCTGTTGCTGTTGCACGTGCCCCAGACAGCGAGCCAACCAAATAACAGTTAGGCGAGTTTTCTTTAGGTTTTCATACTTTTTCGTTTTATATATTTGCATACATATTTAAGTTGCTTGCATTTCTGTTACCATAGTTGACAATATTTATTTGATTTAGTTAATTAAGTATTTTGTTTTAGATTTCGAGTTTCTCTCAGTGTAAATACTATGTAATTAGTTTCTGTAATTGTTTATTCACTACTTATGCACGTAGTCTTAGTAACTGCAACATTTTATGAACTAAGTGTGCTTAATCAAGAGGTGCCACTGTATTTGAAACCAAATTACAACAATTTTATTGCTTTTCCCAACAAAAAAAAGTTTAAATAATTACAATTCAAGAAATACAGCTGCTAAGAATATATAATATGAAGTGCTGTTGGAATTTAAAAATGTTGAAAAATGTCTGAATTCATTGTCAAATGTCTGAAGTAGGATTTTCATGCTGCAGAGTTTTAGTAATAAAAATATTTAATAAAGCAAGGTCTTCGAAGGTCATCTTCAGTGATGAAAGTCCACAGCAAGACAAAGTTTGGGCCAAAACCCTTGGGAATAACAAGAAAAAAAATTATTACGCTGCTTATTTGGTTATTTGTTTGTTTGTTGATGTGATAGCATTAACCTGTTCAAATATGCTTATCCAATTCACAAATCTTGAATATCTTGACCAGCTATTGTTTCTGGTAAGATTAACTGGCTGTTGGAAAAACAAGCAAATACTTTGGGCCGCACACGTGTTGGCTTGTGGGTTCAAGCCAAACGGCACGTACGCAATTTTGGGGAAAACAACAAGCAAACGAAATGCAAATATTCCAGTTATTTTGAAGGAACTTGGAAGAATTTTGAAGAACGTGGCAGCTGGTGCTGACAAACTAAAACAAAAAGTTACAAGTTAAAAGTAAACAAAATAAAAAACGTGTAATTTATATGATGATTGCTTGAATGGTTTTTCAAGCGTGGATTTTAATATTTTTTTTTCGTTATTTAATTTTTTGTAACATTTAGGCTTAATCGATAGGCAATTCGTTTAAATTACTTTATAGATACAATAAATAATACTCAGTCTTGCATAATACATGATATATATATATAACAAATAACTAAAACGAAATCAAATCATTTACAAGGGAGCATCTAAATAGGATCTGTTGTTGCTCTATAGGACTCTACACAGATAGACCCAAATAGCTGGGCAGCTGGATGGATGCGGCTATTTACAAGTGACTAAGCAAGTGACTATGATCTCTACCCCTCCCCTTTCCCATCCCCATCCCCATCCCCCTTCCACTTATAGCCTATACCCATGCCCCTGCAACACACCCACACCCAATTTAGTTGCTGGGCAATCACGCGGCAACAACAACAACCAATGAGGCGCAATCGTCGTCAGCTGCCGCAGCTGGCAGCAAAGTTTGTGTCGCATCTGTCGTCGCGACAGTGGATGCCACATTTCGAGGCTGCCTCTCATTCTGCATCTCCTGCTCAGCCGGCATGTTAATGCAAATGGCTGGCAAGGCTTTGTCCTCCAACTGCAACTGCGCCCTCGTCTGCTCTTCTGTTGCTGACAGTTTGCACTTTTGCAGCTTATTTGAACGTTGCTGCTGCCGTTGCCGTTGCTGTTGTTGTTGTTGCTGCACTGCGTCCTTCTCCCAGTTTGTGATGCACGCACGCTGATTGCTGTGATGATGATGATGATGATGCACCGCCGCCAGGCTGGGATACACAAACTTCATGCCGCAGGCAAAGTGACGCGGCTGATGATGCAACGCCTCATCGTAGCTGGGCAGCCCGGTGGCAATTGTGTAACAGGGCGGCGATTCAATTTGATAGAAGCCTGCCTCATTGCCCCCGGCTGCTGCCGCTGCTGCTGTTGCAGCATTATTGCTGCCACTGGCAGGCAGCTGCTGCAGCAATCGGCTGGCATCGCAGCTGATCAGGTGATGACTGGCCCCATGCGAGGAGTACGAGTCATTGGCCGCATGGATCTGAGCGCGTATATCCTTGTCTGCAAATAAAAAAAGAGGTAAAGAAAAATAAAGTTGGTTAGTTGTTTTTCAGTTTTTATTTATTCTTCTTTTTTTTTGCGAATTGTTGGTCAGCGCTCAAACTTTGACTTTGACTTTGACAGACGTCTCATTAGTTTGTTTGTTGGCCCACACACAAAGCACACTTGTTGTATCCGATGGGTGGGTGTCGGTGAGGGGGCGCGGCAGAGTTGGGCATTAAATTCAATTTAGCGTAAAGGCGCAAACGCTTGAACTTTGTGAATGGCAGGACATGAACAGGAACCTCAGGTTCTTTTATTGAGAAGACACAAAAAATGCGAAAACAAAACAAAAAACAAAATCACGAAAGAAAATAAGTTTTTTTTTTTGTGCCGACCGGAAATGCCTGCGAGTTTGACCGGACAGGAAAAGTTTCCCATTCGCAACAAGCTTCCGACCGACCGAATGGCTGGCTGCCTGACTCTCCGTCTGCCTGTCTGCCTGACAGACAACAAAAGCAACAAGAACAACAACAACAAGTAGGCAATAACATGGCGGAAGTGCGCGCGTGGCACAAACGAAACGAAATACCAAAAAAAGGGGGTAGAAATAAATATTGCAGAAGATGCAGCAATGCAGAGGGAAAGGGTTCCGAAAAGTATGCAACAGCAAATGTTTCATTTTTATATAATATATATGCTTGTATTTTAAAGAAATTTTTGGCAAGCATAAACACTTTTAAGCCTAAAGAATCCCATAGACAATCTATTAAGCTGGCTTAAAATCAAAATAAAACGAAATAAATCCATTAAGTAAAAGTTGTATGCAAAAATATGTAACAGATAGAAGCAGGCATCTCCGACACAATAAAGTATATTTATTGTCGATCAGGCTCGACAGCTTTGCTCAGTGCCGGGCCTGCCATAAGAAATGAGAGCACTTCCACGCATGCTTACATTTAAGTGTGCAAAACCTTTAAAGGGAAATTCGGCAATAAAACTAGAATATGTTTTTAACAGCTGGATTCAGGGTATGTCGCAGTCAAGCTCACCCGACCACAGCATTCTTGCTGGTTTAGTTATTTTATGGCTTAATTTTTTTTCTTTTACCAATTTACAGTAATTTTTATTGGTATCAAATTGTTGGGTTTTTATTAAATGCGATTTAAGCGGCATTTTTTGAATGAAAGTCGTCATGTGCCTTGTGCAATTGAATATTGCGATTTTAAAACTCTGAACAACATTTTTAATTGTTAGCGCAACAATTTGAGTATTTTTTTTTTTATGTTATGAGTTTTAATTGCTTTTTTTTCGTATGTGTATTTTGTGTTTTCCATTATGTTGCTGTTATGCTAGAATTTCGCATGTGTAAATATTTTGGCCAAATGGTTTTCCATTAAAGCGAATTGGGCTTTTGCTGTGCGGGTGTTCTTTTTGTACTTTTGTTGAAGTCGTGGCAAAACAAAAAGAAAAAAATTGTGCGCATTACAATATTAAAACACAACCAAAGAGTCACACAGCCGGAGTATCCGCACTGGTACACATACTGGCAGCAGTCAGTGTGCTGCTGGCAGCAGTTGTTGATTTATTGTTATAACTGTAGCACCAGCAGTTCGCATATATTCTTTGGGTGCTGTTGGACGAGAGCCATTTGACTTTTGTTTCGTTTTTTGATAGACAGACGGCAAATACGGCCACAGTGGGCGGGGCACTCACTCACTCACTCACACACACACACACACATACTACGGGGGGGTTCATATTTTATGCAAGTGTTGGGGCATGCTCTGGCAGCATGCAACAACTGCAGAGTAGTGCTGAGTATCCCTTGGGCACCCTGAGGGGAGGCCAGGCAGATGGCAGCTGCAGTGGCTGGGTAAAAAAATTAGCACGCCATTTGTTTTTGGCTTTTGTTACAGTTGGCAGTTTGGCGGCTCCATTTTTTGTTTTACTGGCTGCTGCGCCCAAATGTATGCAACAATTTAAATTCATTGCAATGAGCTGACGAACGCTGAAGCACCAACAATTGAGCTCAACTGGCTGTCGCAACTTTTTTTTTAATATATTTATATATATGTTTGTGTTTGTGTGTGTGAATTGTTTTTCATAAATGTCTGTTAATTTTTTAACACGCTTGCGGGTTGGGGGAGGAGGGCTGTCTTTTTGGGGGATTGGCTCAGCATTTTTATTACATTTAATCGCTCTCGCAGGTGATATCAATGCAAACCGTGTGTTCAGTGCGGCTCAAATTAAATTTATGCGGCTTGGTTTGCAGTTAATCACAAGTTATACGGCATTAAACACATAAGCCAAGTTCAAGCTGCGACTGCAGGAAAACTGCTCAAATATTAGCAAGCAAAACACTTTGCCAGATACAACTAAACGTTGCTCGGCAACACAACAATTTGCTTAATTAGAGCACTCAATTTGGCGTTGGCTAACTGAAAACCAAAAGGCAAACAACACACAAAAAAAAGTGTACAAATACACACACACACACACACTCACATATATATATATAGTTAACAGTTGCTAGTTTTTGTGGCAGCCACAAAAGCTATTAAAAATTGAAAGGACTGCGACGAGCTGTGGGGGCAAGAAGTTTTTGGGACAGGGCAGGGGAAAATTTGTGTGCCATGCTTAATTACATTTTTAACGCAACTATATTATGCACAACCTATACAACATAATAAACAGTGGCAACGGCATGTCCTGCTTCGTCCAGTTTCGTCCTGTGCCTTAATTTACAAGTGCCAGCGAGCAACGCTGCCTGTTGTCATGTTAATAAATTCAGTTGTGTGTGCCGCTCTAATTGATAACAAGCCAAAACTTGTGTGCAAGTGTGTGTGTGTGTGTGTGTGTGTGTGTGTGTGTATCCTTGCTTAATAAATAAACTCTAAGACCAGGCAGTGGCTGTTCAGCATCTCAGGCTCGTTAAGTATTTATAAGGTAAGAACACTGTGTGCATATGTGTGTGTGTGTGTGAGTGGCAGCAACAAAGGCAGCAGCGGGTGAGGGGTGGTGGGGGAGGTATTGGGTAAGCACACGTAGCCAGCATTAAACGCAGAAAAGCGTGCTACGAAAATCGAGCAGACTTAAGCCAAAGTTGCTTAATTATAAATGACACACGTGTGTTTTCGTGTGTGTGTGTGTGTGTGTGTGTGTATGTTGCAACGTTACCACAGCTAGCACTACATCTATGTATATTTATATCTAGGCACCGTCTATCTATCTATGTAGGCCAGTCTAACACGTAACACAAAAAAAACAAAAAACAAAACAAAACCAGGCTAAAAGTAAAACCAACACGACACTAACGAAACTAATTAGACGCACAGACGCCCAAAAGCTGGCAATGCACACACACACACACACCCACTCGCACACACACACACACACACGCATCGCTCAAATTGATATTTTACGTAGTGACCCCCCCTACTCCACTCCGCTCCTCGACTCTCCTCGCTCGCCCTTCTCCCTCGTTATTGTGGAGCGCAAAGTTTTTAAGGCTCGTTAGCACGAAATTGACAGTTTGACAGTTGAGTTGGCCATACTTTAATGCCACGGCCTTTGCCACTCTGCGCCCCGTTTCTCCATCTCTCTCTCTCTCTCTCTCTTCTTCACTTGCCCCTCTCTAAAGTTTAGTGCTCGCAACTCTCATCTGGTTTGCTGTCGCTGGCCTAAATAAATCATTTGGCTAAATTGGTCTGCAAAAAGTTTGACACTTGAGTTGAGACTTGTTTAGTTTCGTACTTTCATAGTTGGCCCAGGTTGTGTGTGCATGTGTGTGTGTGTGTGTGTGTGTGTGTGCACAGCTCGTTTACTTCCAATTATGTGTAAAGTGCCTAAGCATATGATTTACTTTTCTGTATTTGTTTACATCACTTAAGCAACAGGTTTTTTTTCCCTCAGAACTGGATTTTAATTATTGTTGTTCGTTATAATTTATGACTAAATTTAGCATAGATATTTATATATGCCAAAAGTTTCCATTTGTAACATTTTTAATGCACTGGGAACTAAACTTTATCTTTCTAAAATAACTATTTTTTCTTTTGCTTTTAAAAAGCATTTATTAATCGATTTTTGAAACTTTCAAAGTGCAGATTTTGAGTATTTATATAATTTGTTATATGTAGAAATTGTAGAAAATACTTTTGTCATGTTTAGTGCTCTGCGAACTAAAACTTTTCACATGTTCAATCGAAATTTGAAATTATAATATTATTCATATATTTAAGATCTTTAACAATTATTTGTAGAAACTGCAGAAAATACATTTGTCATATTTTGTGCACTAGAAATTGAAATCTACTGAAACTCTATTTATTTATTTTATTTTTCTTTGAATTATTCTATTATACATATATCGAACTCGATAAGATTGGCCAAAACTCTATTTAAAAAATCAACACTTCAATTTTATTTTATAATTCTTTTATATAAGGCTTGCGAAAACTCTATTTCTTTCTTAATTTATTTTTTAATCAAATTTGTGTTTTATTTTAATTATTATTAATTTATTTTGTGTTTTTGACTAACTAAACCTTTTTAAGAAAGAATCTTAAGCTGAGCTCTTTACGCCCATTTCTCTCGCGCTAAGGTCTTAGTTTTGTGGCATTAATATGTTCGTGGCTGTTGCAGCAGCAGAGATAAGTGAGAATGGCCACATTATCATAATGCCCATATACTATTACTCATCTGACTGTTTATCAGTGTCCACTCCACGGGAACAACACACAAAAATTTCACGCCTTTTTCGCCCAGTCACAAAAAGACAAAACAACAACAACAAATTGTACAAATGGCAACAAAAACAAATTTCGCACAGCTTCCACATAATCAAGCTCGTAAATGGGGGCGTGCAGATAGACGGGGGCAGAGGGCTGGGTCAATTTAATATTATAAATATGCTGCACATATATTTTGTGGCATCATAAACTTGTGTTGTATCTAAAATTACGAAGAGCAACAGCAAACCACGGGAATGCAAAGAACGCCTGACAATTTCGAAGCGCGCCAAAATTTATGAGACTGTCGGCCATAACCAGTGGGTGTAAGTGGAGGTGGGGGTGGGTGGTTGGTTGAGTGGGTGGGGGATGGTGCGATGTATTCTGCATTTTATATTGTTTAGCCTGGCAGGCAAAACAGCTGAATAAATGGCCCGCTGATAAGGGCGAACCCAAAAAATAACATTTTGATTACAGCAGCCACAAAGTCAAAGCGAACATAAAAAAAAAGGAAGCGAATTTGAAAGGGGGCGGGTTGGGTGGGGGGTGGAAATACTTACTGCACTTTTTCCATGTGCGAAACTTGCGATAGAAATAGCAGCTGAAGACTATAAAGATGAGGGAGAGCACCACCAGCGAGGTGACGACACCGATCCACAAATAGTTGACAATCGCATGCATGTCAGCATCGCCAAAGATCTGTTCCCACCACGACCAGGAGGAGTCGATGGCATCCTCGGCATCGGTGTGCTCCCGCAGATCGGCCAGATCGAGCACCACCGAATTGGAGAGCTGTTCGGTGCTGATGCTGCCGGCCGGTGGCAGGGAATCGTAGCCGATGCGTTGCAGCAGCGTGTTGAACGAGTGCAGTGCATCGATGTGGCGCAGATCGTGCGCCGTGGGTATCTCGAATGTGATTTGATTCTGTTGCATGTGCTCCGCAATGGCAGCGGGACTCATGCTGCTTGCCGGTGCCGAAATGAATTCCGCATACAACTCCGACCCGCTGCCAGTTGCTAAAGGGGCAGCCGTTGTTGTCTCCGTCAGCGAATAATCCATTGGTGTTGTTGCTGTTGTTGTTGTTATTGCTGGAGACATCTTTGCCCAATTTGTTCTCTTTTCTTTATTTTGTCGTTTATCACTGATTTCGCTGTTGTTGTTGCTGCTGCTGTTGCTGTTATTTAGTTTTGTTGTTGCCACACACACGCGTCACGACACGTAAACAAAACGCAGTCTATAAATAGTCATTGGTCGAATTTGAATAGTTCGTTAGCTCGAAACACGTTATTTGGCGTGCGCACTGCGTCCGTTCGCTGGAGCGGCTCGTTGTTGACTGAATTGGTCTCTCGGGCGGCGAGCGTAAGGTAAACGTTCCCACTTTCCAAATGCACTCGTTGAGCGTGGCGGCTGCACTCAGTGCGCTCTCTCTCTCTCTCTCTCTTTCGGTAGAAATGTTTGCTTCGGGGGACATTTTGTGACTCACTCAATTGCCGGCTCACTCACAATGTTGAGTGCAACTTGCGAGTCCTTGTCTTTAAGAAGTGTTTTTTTGCAAATTTTGGCCGCATGTTATTTTTTATATAAAATGTTCAGTTGACCCAGTTTGAAGCGGTTCACAAAAGCAAAAGTCGTCAACGCCGCTTTGACTAAAGAAAACTTCGCTCCGGTCACGTTCGTGGCAGCTTTTGTGGCGTTTAAAGTTCTCAAGTTTTTTGAAGCAAATAGCAAAAACTTCTCTAAAAAGACAAGACTCCAGGGGCAAAGGGGAATGAGGCAAGGGGGCGTGGAAGGAGTATTAGCTAAGCTTGAGCTTGGTTTAGGATTTATGAGCCAGGATCTCGTTTACAAAGTTTGCAGCTGTTCATCAGTTGCTAAAGCACACATAAATTGAACGAGCTCAGTTTTGATAAAAATATAAATCTGAAGATTTTCGACTTGCTTTGTGGTAACAATCAGAAAAGTTGGCAATGCTTAAATTTCAGCTCTAACTAATAATAGTCTTTAAAAATCTCAATTAAATTTGTTACAGTATAAATTATATTAATTAATCAAAAAATTGTAGGAAATTTTAGACTTTGTGGTGAAGAATGGCTCAAATCTTAACTCTGACTAATAGCAATCTTTTATGACAAGAGTTAATTTAATTTAACTATATATTCTGCCACTTCAATAGATTAATTACTCATTAACAAATAGTAATTAATTATTGAAAAAAAATTCCATCATTTACTTAAATTATGACATTTTTGATCTATTTTGTGGTGAAAAGTTTATCAGTGCGCAAATCTCAGCTCTGACGTAATACCAATTTTTATTAAATTAATTTAAGTTGATTTAACTATATATATTCTTCATCCTTAGTAAATTTACTTATTAGTTAGTTATTTATTAAAAATAATTATTAACCAATCACTTCTTTTAACATTCAACCAGGCACGAGCAATCATTAAATGGCCCACATATAAAAATTATGTAGTTAAATAGAGTGTTAAGATTGTTAATTAGCATGTAAATATCGTTTGGATCAAATATATATTTTGTTCAAAATTGATTATATTTTTTAAATACGTTTTTATGAATATTATTTACAGGAAATAAAATTATTAATCCTAGTTTATGCTTACAAATCCGACCCTTCCTTTGTGATTTGAATAAATATTGATTGCAACACTTTGCCGTTATATTTATTTCAGTCTTAAGCATTGATTAATAATAAAATAACAATTAATTATTAAAAATTATTCAATGTCCTTCAGCATTCACTTCATTTACGACGCAGCCAGGCGCAAACGAACTTTAAGTGGCCCAAAATATAAAAAGTACTTTATAGTTGAATAGACTTGAAATCTCGGCCATTATGTGTCCCTTGGGCGAAGGGTTGCGCATTGCTTCCTGGCCGAAAGTTGTTTTGCTTGGTGACCATTGCAATCAGGACGTGAACGTGAATGTCCTGCAACTCAGACTCAAATTGACCAAAAGCCGCACTCAACCCAGACTCAATGCACAAAGGCATCTTCGTGATATGTTGGCCAAAAAAAAATACGTGCTCAGAAAGTGGAACAAATGCACACCAACTTCTCCCTTGCCATTCCGTCTACACGCTCTCTCACTCAAGCCAAACCGAAACTCAACAGTTTGAGTGTCACTCGAATACCGGTTTGGCGTGGCGCATGAGCGCACTCCCTGAGAGTAAATTCAGTGAATTGAGTAAAATTTCCCTCGGCTCGCCTGCTCACGAAAAGAGCGCAAACCTAGAGTCGAATTGCTAGCATTCGCCTTTGAACTGCGCCCGGCTAAAGGTCAGACCGTGTGGGCGCTTCGTCTATACGCACGTAAATAAAAAATAAGTACGTAAAACTTACAACCAGCAACTGGTTTTGGGCCAATTTTGGGCAATTTTGGTCAGGCAAGGGGCAAGGAAACGAGTGCGGTGTTGTAAAAGCTTGTAATTGCTGCAGGAAATTGAAATAGATGCCCGATAATATGCACTTAGTTGCTGCTGCTGCTGCTGTTGGCAAATTCATTCGATAAATGCATTAAAACTTTTCGAATGCTGCAGCAAAACTTGGGCCTGTCTCTGTGTGTGTTGCTGCTGCAGCCTTAGGCAACAGCCAAACGCTTATCGTTAATTAGCTTTCGACTAATTTTCGAACTTTAACATAAGTTGAACGGCGAGCGACTTAACGTAGATTGCCGCTGAGATTTATGTCCACACGATAAGGGAAATTGCTAGCGCGAAAGAGAGACAGAGAGAGTGAGAGAGACGGAATCCTTAGTTAAGACTTAACTGTGAAATTGAGTTAATTTGAAATAACTGCAAAATTGAAGACCCGAAATTGTCAAAGTAGGTAGAATAGTTATTTCGAAAACACAAACTTATTTGTTAGTATAAATTCGTTGAATACATATATCTTTTGGATCACATATACATTTATTTTTTGATTTACATTGTTAATATTATTTATTGCTTTAATATGTAATATGTAGTTAAAAACTACCAAAACTAAATTATTGTTTGCTCTTATTAGAAGAAAAATACGATTTTATATAAATTTAATTTCGATATTCAGCTTTCAACACTTTGCCGTTATATATCTTTCATTCTTCTTTCGACAAGACAATTAATTTTAAAATGAAGAAAATCAAATTAACAACGGAACTTGCTAAATATGATATTTAAATAGTTTGAATCACAAATAAATGTTCATCAAAGTTGATTAAATATTTGGTTGATGATTATATGCATTATATTGACAATATTATTCACTGCAAGTGATTAAAAACTATGACAAATCTATTTAACCCAGCTTAGACTTAAAACCTGCACCGTTCTCATCTACTGAGTCATTTAGAAATTAAATAAGCTACAACTGCTTTGTGATAAGAAAAATACAATTTTATTTGAATTGAATTTACCTATTGTGCTTTCAACAATTTGCCGTTATATTTCATTCATTCTTCTTTTGTTTTAATCTAATTCCAAGCGAATGGGAATTAAATTCACAGCACTTGACTTGCCGCATTCAATTTGCAACTTTGCTGCCTACGCCCCTGGATCAGCCCCCTCAACAGCCCTAGCCATGACTGGCATTTAGCACACTCAGGTACACACACATACACAGATACACACATACATACATGCATACATGTCACTATAGATGCTCCGTCATGTCCTATCCTGTGCATCGTTGCCAGTCTGCCTGCAATACATTGGGTTGGCGGAGGGGGGTGGTGTTGCTGATGGTGGTATTCGTGGCTAGTGAGGCAGAAGAAGTTAAGTTTTATAAACAAATTTACACCTTTCATTTTGTGCACGTTTTTAATATATATTTTCTAAGAAAATATGAAAGCTGTCAGTGCTTATGAAGCCCAGGCAGCATTCATGCCATGTATTCCATGCATGCAGATGCAGATGCTCTGTGACACCGAACTAAAAGTAAATTCATTAAAAATTCCATCATAAAGAATACCTGCACACACAGAGACATGAAAAGATGATGAGAAATAGAGAAATAGAGAAAGAGAGAGAGAGAGAGAGAGAGAGAGAGAGTGAGTGAGACAGAGAGAGAGAGAGAGATAGCGAAAAAGTTATGTATATATTTTTTGCTAACTAACTAAAAAGTAAACCATAGAAGCTGACAAGTCAAAGCCGAGAAAGATGGCAGCCAGATACTCATATCTACAGCCTGCTAACTGTGTCTATCTCACGCTTTCCTGTGTGCTACTCGTTGCACTTCGCAAAATTTGAGTGTTCTTAAGTAACACCAAAATCCTACAAATGTCAAAACGAAATGAATAAAATTCACAGTTTAAGACGTGTATTTTTTTAGTTCTGAATGTGCGAACTAAAGTAAAATTCTTAAAAAAATTAGCTATAGTTTCCACAGTTCAAGAATTTAATTTAATATATTCAGCAGCTTAACTCAGTAAATAAAGCTCTTAAGTCAAGAAATTCTTACATTTTTTTTATATATATCAAATTTTAAGTTGTAGTAACTTGAACTTGTTTAATAAATTCTTGTTAATGCAAAATAATAATTGGACGAATTTGAAATTAATAGGGACTTAGGGAAAGTTCTAAAGCAAAGTAAATTAAAAAAAAAAAAAACACAGTTTTATTGTAATGTAGCACTTAGATATTCTCTGAGTGTACTCGATGGTTGTGCAACAGCCAGCTTCCATCACACTTCACTTACAGGCTCTTTAGCATGTCAACATGACAAAAGCTCGCCGACTCTCTTCCATGCCACCCACTCACTTACTGTCTGGCTCCTTCTCAGTGACTGGAAGAGAGTGGCTGTGTGGTGACATAGTGACATAATAAAATGTTACTTTACTTGAGCTTAGACACATGAAATATGCAGAGCGTAAGTAAATTTCGGAGCAGTTCTTAACCAAAACTACAGTTGGAATTGCCTGGAGCAGACAAGGCCAGCATTCATAATCACATTAATGAAATATGCAATTGGCATGCCTTTAACTTTTGTGTGAATTTGCATAATTGCCAGAGGCTTAAGGATTAGCATGAATCAATCAAATGGAAACCCAACGAATCTCAGTACATTTCAGAAAGATAGACAGAGTGAAGGCGAATTGTGTGTGAAATTATGCAGAAGGGCAACGGTTGAAAGAAATGCAAAGAATGCAGTACAAAGGATGCAAGGAACCCGGCCTGAGGCAGCAGAGTTTGCTGCCTGGCTAAACAAATACAATTGCATAAGTCCTGCCTTTGTCTGCACACATGTGCATGTACACTCTTACATAAATATGGAGTTGTGTGTTTATCATATGTGCGCTTGATTAGCGCTGACAACACATGCAGGCTGGCAGC